GGGAGAGAGGCATTGAATGGCGTAGGTGGGAGTGGAGGGAGATGCTGGTGGAGCAGGAGAAGGGCTGGGTCAAGACACGTGCATCAAGGGCGGGGAGCAACACGGAAGCTATCGGTTACTTCTGTCATTGGGGAAATTACTTTCATCTGCTCCTTTCTGTAAAATGTGTATCAGATACTGTTCTAAATCTGAGCATTCAAATTAAGACAGATTAGGAAGAATTGGCCATCTACTTCTGAAATAACAGTCCTTCAAAAACCCCTATGTACAATAGAGAACACTTAGACTAGCAGACATGGCAACTGAGGCTGCGTCCTCAAATACGGAAACACACAGGAGGAGGAACAGCTGTAAGCAGACACTAGTGATTGGAATGTGGAATGTGAGAAGAATGAATATAGGAAAATTGTGCATTGTTGAGAAAACAGTGGAACGCATAAAATATTGACATACTCGGTACTGGCAAAATGAGATGACTTGGCATGGGACATTTTGAATTAGATGATCATATGCTCTACTATGCCAGAGATGAAAAGGTGAGGAAAAATGAGGTTGCTCTCATAGTTAAGAAAGTAATTTCTAGATCCATCTTGAAACACACCGTTGTATGTGACAGGATAATATTAAGATGCATACAAAGAAGTCAAGTGAATACCACTATGATTCAAATATATACACCAACAACTAGAGCCAAAGAAGAGGAAAGAGACGATTTCTACCAATTTTTGCAGTTAGAAATCAATGGAACATTCAATCAATAATAATAATGAGTGACTGGAATACAAAAGTTGGGAACTGAGAAGAAGGGTCAGTAGTTGGAAAACATGGACATGGCAACAGAAATGAAGCTGGAGATAGAATGATAGAATTTTGTACATTCAATGATTTGTTCTTTACAAATACATTTTATAAGAAACATAAACGCAGATTATACACATGGATTTCACCTGATGGGATGCATAGAAATCAAATAGATTACATCTGTGGAAAGAACTGCTGGAGAATTTCTATATCAGCTGTGAAAAGTAGGCCAGGTGCTGATTGTGGAACAGGTCACCAACTACTCATATACAAGTTCAAGCTGAAGTTAAAGAAAATTAAATTCATAGGAAAAGAAATTAGACCTTCCTTGAATCTGTCCCTCTTGAGTTTCAAAACCATCTCAGGAACAGTTTTGAGGCCTTGAACACCAATGACTGAAGACCAAAGGAGCTGTGGGAGGATATCAAGAATATAATCCATGAAGAATACAGAAGGTCATTACAAAGGCAAAGGAGAAAGAAAAGACCAAGATGGATATCAGAAGAGCCTCTGAGTATTGCACTAGAGCACCGAAAAGCCAAAGCAAAGGGAAGAAATTGAGATATTAAGGAGCTGAACAGAAGTTTTCAAAGGACAATGTGGAAAGACATTATATGCGGAAAGTGTTATAATGAAATGTGTAGAGAGTGGGAGTCAAAAAATCAAAGGGGCCGATCTCGCTCAACATTTCTTAAGCTGAAGGAACTGAAGAACAAATTCAAGCTTCGAGTTGGAATACTTATGGATGCTTTGGACAGAACATTAAATCATCCAGTAAGCAGTAAAAGAAGATGGAAAGAGTATATAGAGTCATTGTACCAAAAGGAATTGGCAGACACAAAAGAGTGTTATGAAACAATGTATGAGCAAGAGCCTGTGGTGGTGAAGAAGGAAGTTCAAGCTGCTCTGAACGAATTGGCAAAGAGCAAGGCCCCAGTAATTGCTGACATACCAGTTGACATATTTGAACAATTGGATGTTGCCCTGGACGTGCTCACCAAGTTGTGCCTAGAAATCTGGAGGACAACCACCTGGCCAACTGACTGGAAGAGATCTGTATTTGTTCCAATCTCAAAGAAAGGTGACCCAACAGAGTGAGGAAATTGCTGAGCAATGTAATTAATATCACATGGAAGCCCTATATAGTCTTTGCAATTACTTGTTATGCAACAGAAAGCTGGACAGTGACTAGCGAAGACAGAAGGAGAGAGCTGTGGTGCTCGAGAACAGTATTGAATATACCATGAACTGCTTCGAGAACAAGCAGGTTCATCCTAGGGAGGGTGAAACCAGGCTGCTCCTTGGAGGCAAAGATTTTGAAACTCATTCTGACATACTTTGGACATGTTGTGAGGCGAGACCAGTCCTTGGAGAGGGATGTCGTGCTTGGGAAGGTGGAGGGACAGCACAAGAGAAAAAGACCCTCAGTGAGATGGATTTACTCAGTGAATGGGGTAGTGGGGGTGGTTGTGTCAGAGACAATGAGATTTGCTCAGGACAGAGCAGGGTTTAGGGCTGTTGAACATAGGGTCACTATGAGTTGCGGGAGACTGAAGGGCACATAACAACAACAACAAGATTCTGCTGAAGATTATCCAAAACGACTGGAAGTGCCAGATGTGCAGGCTGGGTATAAAAGAGGTTGTGGTACTATGGATATTATAAGATATTATAACTAATGTTCGATGGATCTTGGCTGAACGCAGAGAGTACCAGAGGATTGTCTGTCTGTATTTCATTGACTATGCAAAGGTATTTGACTCAGTAGATCACAACAAACTGTGGCTAACTCTGAGGAGAATGGGAATCCCAAAACATTGATTGTGCTTATGGAAAACCTGTACTTGGAACAGGAGGCAGTTGTCAGATCAGAGCAAGGAAACACTGCATGGTTCAAAATTGGGAAGGGTGTACGCCAGGCCTGTGTCCTATCTCCATACCTTTTCAACATATGCTTAAGAGATCACCTGGGAGACTCGACTCTGTATGGAGGAGTGTGACATCAGGATTGGAGAAAGACTCATCAACAACCTGCGTTATGCAGATGACACAACCGTGTTTGTGAAACTGAGGAGGACCTGGAGTGCTTGCTGCAGAAGGTTAAGGACCGCATGCAGCAGCCTTCAATATGGATTGAAGTTCAATACCTAGAAAAAGATTCTCACCACTGGGCCAACTGGCAGCATCATGATAGATGATGAAGAGATTGAGATTGTTAACAGCTTTAGTTTACTTGACTCCACAAGCAATACTCTTGGTACCAGCAGCCAGGAAATTTAAAGACAAATTGCATTGGGAAACTCTGCTCTCAGGGACCTGTCCAGCTGACTGAAGAGCAGCTATGTCACTGTAGACACTAATGTGTGCCTGATCCAGGCCATTGTCTTCACACTTGCTGTGCATCAGAGAGCTGGACAATGACTAGGGATGATGGAGAATTGATGCCTTAGAGCTGTGGTGCTGGACAAGAGTATTGAGTATACCATGGACTGCTAGGAGAACAAACAGGTTTGTCCTAAAGAGAGTGACTCCTTGAAGACAAGAATTCTGAGGCTTCGTCTGACATGCTTTGGGCATGTTGCAAGGCGGGACCAGTCCTTGGAGAGGGACATCATGCTTAGGAGGGTGGAGGGACAGCATAAGAGAGGAAGATCCTTAATTAAATGGATTGATGCAGTGATTGGAGTAATGAGGATAGGTGTGTCAAACACAATTAAGTTGGCACAGGTTAGAGCTGGTTTCAGTGCTGCTGTTCTTAGGATTGCTGTCAGTCGTAAACTACTCAGTGGCGCATACCAACCACGGTTCACAACATTGTCAGGACAGGTTTTACCATTGCCAGTTTGCTGTTCTTTTGTCTGTTGTTTCTGGTTACTAAGGTCTGTCTACTTTCCTTTGACGTTTCTGTGTGAAGGACTTCACTTCAAATTTCTCATAATTTTGGTGGTGTTTTCACATATTCCCTAAGTTCCTTCTTTTCTTCAAAGGTTTTACTTTCTCCTTTATATTTGATGGAAAGCTTTGCTGAGTACTGCATCCTTGGCTGGCAATTGTTTTCTTTTAACTTTCTGTAGATGCCGTCCCATTATTTTCTAGCTCGTGTGCTTTCTGCTGAGAAATCAGAACTTAATCTAATTGTTTCTCTCCTTTGTAGGTGACTCTGTTTTTCTCGCACTGCTTTTAGTGTTCTATCCTTATCCTTTAATTTGGATAATTTGACTATGATATGTCTTGATTTTTGTTTTCTTTTTTTGGTCTAGTCTATTTGTTGTTCGCTGTGCTTCTTGAATGTGGATTTCTCCTTTCTTCATAATACCTGGGAAATTTTCCTGTAATACTTCTGCCACAATTTTCTCAGTGCATTTTTTGTCACTCTCATGTTCTGAAATTCTAGTTATATGTATGTTTTTCTTTTTGATGTCATCCATATGATTCTGTTGTTTTCTTCGTTTTCTTTACATTTCATCTCTCATTTTACTTCTAGTTTGTTTCCAGGGAGACTCTTGTCTTCCAGCTCACTGACTCTCTGTTCCATCTCTTTTGCTCTACTTTTTGTTACTCCAGTGTGTTGGACACTTCTGCCATTTTGGTCTTAATATTCTGGATTCCATTTTCATGCTTGCTTTTTATTTCTAATACTTTGCTGGCCTCTTCTTCTGTAGCTGTTTAAATATATGCACATTAACATATTTCTTTTGGTTCTCTCTATCTGGGGTATTAATTTCATCGGCTTTCTTAGGAGAGAGTAATTGTTTGGTGGTTTTTTTTTTTCATGATGACAGAGGCAGAGTACTGCTTTCTTGACATTATATAAGTCTTTTCTTAGTAGATGTTAGGCTGTTGTAACTACATAATGTCCCAGGGAATGGCAATGTTCTGTGAAGGATCTGTGTATTGATGTACCCTTCTTGGGCAAAGTGGAACCAAAGTGGGATTGTTGCCCTCCAGAAACTGTGGCTCCACTGGGCCTCTTCTGCTTGAGCTTATGAAATCCCACGTGATGTAGCTAGACAGCAGTGTTGAAGGCCAACGTAGGGATTAACTTTTATAGAATTCAAATGAAAATAAGTAAGTAGCATAATACCACTCTTGTGTGTCTGGTGCAAGCAAAGCAGGCAGCATTATTTATTATTTTGTTCATTTGTTGAAATTGTTAGAGATTTCTTATATTTCTTAAGAGTGTTTCCTTTTTCATACAGAGCACCTTCAAGTTTAAATCTGAGAGTGATATTCATCTGGCGGAGCATCACAAGCAGGTCCTGTATGATGGGAAGCTTGCAAGCAGCATTGCCTTTACCTACAACGCAAAGGCCACGGACGCGCAGTTGTGTCTGGAGTCATCACCAAAAGAAAACGCGTCCATTTTTGTGCATTCTCCCCATGCGCTCATGCTGCAGGTGAGGGAGAAGGAGCCTGGGTTTCCTGTATTCTTCCCTAAGAATCTGATTATTACTCATCTTCAAGAATGCCTCATTTTGTTTTGTTTTCTAGTCTTCGAATGATGTTTCTGCAGTTATTTCTATCCCTCCCTTTTTCTCTCTCCTTGTTTTTGCTGAGGGGGAAGGGAGACAAAAGTTTTTTATGGATCACAAGATGAATGAAGTGTGAAACACAATATGTATGAATTAAACACAGTATATATCAATTTTGTATGTAATCCAGTATTTTTTAAAAAAGACTTTACCTGGGCCTTGTTTCCAAGGAGCACTGGTCTGTAAGTGCTGAGTCGCCAAGTGAAAGGTTAGCATTTCACACCTGCCCGCAGTCAGCTTCCAGAAGGATTCATTCTTGGGACGACTCCTGGTAGTTCTTCTCCGTCACCCAGTGCGAGTAGGATGACCAGGGGGGATTGACTCTGACAGGAGGGTTGGATCTTGCTCCCTGGTAGGTAAACTTGTCATAACTAGTACTTATTGTGTTCAGTATCTACTGAAATCAAACTGGTTGCTTTTCTAAGGAGACAGTTGTTAAATATAAAAGTATAATTTAAGAACTTATTATTTAAACTATCAAGCATCAAACGTCAAAGTTACCTAACTATTTTTGTTGTTGTTATGTGCTGTCTGATTGGAACCGACCCATAACTGACCCTCTTGCAGCTTCTCAGAGGCTGTGTGCTACGTAGGAGGAGAGGGGCCCTCCTTTGCTCACAGAGTAGTCGCTTGATTCTAATCGCACCTTTGGGGGCAGCTTCTTCCGACTGGGCCAGGCAGTCAGCTGTAGCTGTTGTCAGGTGCTGTTGGGTCCGCCACAACTCAGTGACCCTGTGGATGCAGTGTCCTCTGCCCCATCCTGTGCCACCCTCAACCTCTCTGACAGACTTGAGCCCATGATTACACTTACTGTGTCAGGCCATCTCGTTGAGGGTCTTCCTCTTTTTCTCTGATGCTCCATCAAATTTATCAGTAGTATTTCTTATTCTGAAACAAGTTCTTTTTATTTTGTTGTTGTTATGTGCCATGCAGTCGCCTGCAACTCCTAGCATCCATATGTACAATAGCTCTGAATCACTCCCTGTCCTGAGCAGTCTCGCTGGCTTTGACACACCTACCTCCATTGCCCCAGTTACTGTATCAGTCCATCTCATCTGGGGTCTTCCTCTCGCGTGCTGTCCCTCTGTCCTTCCGAGAATGATGTCCTTCTCCAAAGACACTTTGGTCACATGCCCGAAACATGTGAGTTGGAGCTTCCTAGCCTCCAAGGAGAGACTTGGTATGGCTTCCTATTTTCGGTGTAGAAGTAATCCAGTGAAGACTTGAAGAGTGTTGTTCGGTGCCATGAAATCAGTTTCTCTTCATGGTGACTGACTCTTCCCCTTTTGTTCCATCCTCACAATCAAGTGTCTGTCCAGTAAGGATCTTTATGTCTGTTGCTGACATTCTACTTTCCCCCGAAATTCCAAGTTTAGTTGGTTTCAGATATATCTGACAGAAATACTTCTATTAAAAAAAAATTATGTATCAAGTCATACAATTGAGAGCTTTTAAAAATGTTGACGAATGCTGTTGAATTGTCTTGAAAAGGCAGTCCCTTAGTGAAATGGATTGACACAGTGATTGCACCAGTGAGCTCCAGAGCCCAGAGAGGATGAGAGTGGTGAAGGATAAGGCCAGGATCAGGTCTTTTGTCCATGGCATTGATTGCTTTGAGGTAGAGCTGACTTAATGGGCACCCAAGAGCAACAACAAGATCAAAGGGTTGGGGACCAAGAGATAGTCATGAGAATTAGCCCTTAAAAGTTTATGAATATTTTTGTTTTTGAAAACAGGATGTGAAGGCTATAGTAACACATTCGATTCACAGTGCGATTCACTCCATTGGAGGGATTCAGGTGCTTTTCCCACTCTTTGCCCAACTGGACAATCGGCAGCTCAATGACAGCCAGGTGGAGACGACAGTTTGGTAAGTGTTTCTGCTCTTACTGAGAGTGATGGTCTACTCAGTACGCTTGGAAAGCCGTGAAGTTTTGTATCCTTGAGGTGCCAGGAGCAATTCCTGTAGGAATAAGGCAGACAGATATTACCAGAGTTTTTTAAAAAGTGACATTTAGATTCTGATAACCTAAAGGAATGACTTCGTTGTTCCTAAATCTTTTCCCGATCTAGTATGTCGTTGTTTTGTCCCAGCCGGTTAGGGCAGACCCATAGCTGAGCCTCCAGCGTGTTTGCAGAGGCAGTAATCACAGGAGAGGACATCGCCTGTTTCTCTCCCACAGAGAGAGCTGCTGGATTCAAACTGTGGGCCCTTAGGGTGGCAGTGCAGCACCATACCACTAAGCTACCAGAGGTTCTCTGTAAGTACAGTTTGTACTTGAGGAAAGAAAAAAAACACAAAAAAACAAACCAGCTCTGATCTTGACCTTCACAAGTGCTTCTCATTTGCATTGTCCATGGAATCCTGTGTGATTGAAGGAGATTGCTAGGATGGAAGCACTGGGCAAGTAGAGTGTTGAGTGAAGTCGGGCGATCTGTGTCTTCAAGGGAACATGACTCTGTGGTGATGTTGTTAGGACACATGTCGAGCCCAGTGTTGACACAGCTTTTCTCTGCATAGAGATAGGGAGTCATGTGTCAGAATCTAGACCTAACCAGAGGCATACCAAGGCCATGCAAAGAGGAATGATCCTCCAAGAAAGTTAATTTTGTGTAAGATTTTTGTCACTTCTCTTTTTTTTTAAAAACGCAATACCAATGCCTCAAATGCTGATTTAGTCTTCTGCTTTACAGTCATTCATGAAGGAAGTTAAGCATCAAAATATAATAGCTATTTTGACTGTTTATGGACATGTTTAGAATATTAAAAGAGCAAATGACTTAGACAAGCATTCATTTTAACTTCACCAGTAGCATAGAAGTGCTTCTCTAGTATGTGTGTGTGTGTGTGTGTGTGTGTGTGTGTGTGTGTGTGTGTGTATATGAGATACTTCATGGACCATCCAGCTTTGAATTGATGGAGAGCTAGTGAAACAAGCTGAAACAAATGGAGGGCTCATGGCATGATATTGTCATATTAAACAGATAAACAAAATTAGTAGACTAACAAAATTTCATATTGCTAATGATGTTATTCCTGTATTGGGATCCTCTGTCAAAAGTATCAGTCCAGTTCTACATGTGATGTGTTCAAATACAATATTGACTCCCTTCTGTGGGGTTTATACTCTTTATGCCAATTTACTGTAAAGGCTGGAGTTTGTAGTAAAAGCTTTAAAGGAAAAGGAAATCCTGAGGTCATGCCCTATGGTGATAAAATACTTTGCCCTGAAAGTGTAAATGATTTCACCAGGGGACAGACCTGCCTAGTGGAAAAATCAAAGTTCAACTTCCAGTCCTGGATTTAAATTCAGATATTGTCCTATTTATTATTGAAATGAACCAGGACACATTGTGGTCAGTTATTGAGAAGTTCTGTGCTCTGAATAAGTAGTCTGAGAAGAGGTAAGAGTTAAAGTGGCCTCTATGAACTCCCTTGTGCAACAGAAATACTCATTAATTAAGATAAAATCCGTACTGTAACTTGAAGGAGAATTTGCTCTGTGAAAATTAGGAAGAGTGAATTGTTTCCAGTATTCTGAATAAAGTAAGAGCAATGATTGATACCGTCATGAATAATTATTATAAAATATGGATGTTAAAACCATACTCAACAGAATATCTGGTCTGCTCATCCAGTGTATATGGCCGTTTTTCACTACTGGTCTTCACACTCAGAAGCAGGATTGGCTTTCTGCTTCTTAAATAACAGGCCTTTAAAGATCCTCTGAACACTAGAGGAGGATAGCTCTGGTAGAGTAGTGGTGGAGCCCAGTTTGGAAGTCAGTTGAAGCAAGGAAAAGCCGTAACAGGCACCGTTTAATAACTGGAACGTGAAATGTACGTAGCTTGAACGTTGGAAAACGGGAAACTGTTAAAAATCAAATGGAACACGTGAACATCGATATACTAGGCATTCGTGAGATGAGATGGACCAACTTTGACCACTTTGAATCAGATAATCATATGGTATACTAGACTGGTAATTTAAAACAGAAGAAGAATGGTGTTGCTTTCATAATGAAAAAAGTTGATTTCAAGTTTTATCTTGATGTACAAATGTGGTGAATGATAGGATAATATCCATATGCATACAAGGAATACTCATTAACGTGACTATTATTCAAAATATGCTCCTGCATCTGGAGCCAAAGAGGAAGAAATTGAGACTTTTTATCAAATCTTGCAATCTAAAATTGACTGAACATGCAATCAGGATGTGATAATTGGTGACTGGAATGCAAAAGTGAGAAGCAGTGAAGAAAGGATAGAGGATGGAAACTACGGGCTTGGTGATAGAAATGAGGCTGGAACTAGAATCACTGCATTTTGTATTTACACTGATACAAACGATGACTTTATACATGGATCTCGTCTGACAGGCTGCATAGGAATCAGATTGACTACGTTTGTGGAAGAAATTGTCGGAGAGCTTAATATTGGCAGGGTCAGACCATAAATTACCCATATGAAAGTTGATAAGAAAGTAAAAAAGTAGAAAAAAGGAAGTAAAATAAGTCTGCAGGAACCAAGATACGATCTTGAGTCAGTTCTCTCTGAATTTCAGGATCATCTTAGGAATAGGTTTGAAGACCAGATGAGCTGTGGGGTGAATGATATCCAGGATATGCTCCATAAAGAAAGCAGAAGGTCATTACGAAAAAAAGAGGAAGAAAAAATCGAAAGGCGGGTCAGAAAAGACTCTAAAACTTGCACTGGAGTGTTGAGAAGCCAAAACAAGGAAAACATGCCGACATGAAAGAACTGAACAGACAGTTTCTAAGGGCAGCGGACAAAGCAAAGTATTATAATGGAATGGGCAGAGAGCTGGAATTGGAGAATAAAAAGGGAAGCACTTACTCTGCATTTCTCGAGCTGAGAGAACTGAAAAAACAGATTTAAGCCTCCAGTTGCAGTATTGAAAGATGCTGTGGGCATTATTTTGAATGGCCCAGAAAGCATCAAAGGAAGGGGGAGGGAATACACAGAATCACTGTACCCGAAAGAACTGATCGGCACTCTGTCCTGTAGGGTGCTCGGCATTGCAGTCCTGGCAGTGGCGGACCGTGTTCTGGATCACACTCTCCAGCTCACTCCCTGCCACTGAGTCGGAACCTCTGCTGGCTGAGCCCCGGCAAGTTTTCCGGGACTGTAAACCACAGTGGAGATTGCCAGTCTGTCCTGAAGAGCTCCTGGTGGATTCGAACCTGTGGAGAGGCTCCACCTTTAGGTTAGCAGCCCCACTCCCTTTGCAGTGTGCTTGCTGTTGTTGTCTTAAGGCAGGACTGACTCCGTGCTGACCCTCCAGTGAGTTTTCAGAGGCAAGGGGGGAGGGTACTCTTCTTCCATTGGCGTAGCTAGTGGATTTGAATTGCATGCCGTTAAGACTGCCTCTCAGCTGCTTGCTCAGTGTTTCTTTTTCTCAGGATACTGTTGTTGTCCTGTTCTGCTGAGTTGACCAGGACTCATAGATACCTTATGAACAGTGTCTCTGAATTTTGTGCTGTCCTGAGCCAACCTCACTATCTCTGATATAGCTGACCTCAGTGCCACAGCCACTGTCTGTCCAGGTCAACCAGGGTTTTCCTTTCTAGTGCTGAACCCTCTACACATAAGCATGACATTCTTCTCTAAGGACTGGTCCCTCCTGAGGAAATGCCAAAAGGATGTGAGAAGGAGCTTCAAATTCCTTGCCTCCAAGGAACAATCTGTTTTCACCCTCTGTCTGACAGGCCAGTTTGTTCTCTTGTCATTTCATGGTATGTTCAATATTCTTCTCCGGCACCACAACTCAAAGGGATTGATTCTTCTTCTGTCATCCCTAAGTCTTTGTCCAGTTCTCTGATGCACAGCAAGAAATTGACAAGATCATGGCCTGCATCAGGTGGATCTTAGTCTCTATACGGACATTTTTGCTTTTTAGCGTGCTGGAGAGGTCCTGGACAGCAGATTTTCCCACTGTAATTTGTCTTTTGATTTCCTCACTACCGGTATAAGAGTGTTGAATCCAAGCCGGATGAAGTTGCTAACAACCTCAATCTCTTCTCCATCTCTCATGATCCTGTCTATTGGCCTAGTGGTAAGGATTTTTGATTTCTTGATGTTGCGATGCAAACCATATTGACATCTGCAGTCCTTGACCTTATGCAGTAAACACTTTGAGTCCTCCTCACTTTGGTGAGTAATGTTATGCCATCTGTGCAGTGCAGGTTGTTGATAAGTCTTCTCCAATTTTGATGCCACACTCTTCTTCATAAGGTTCAGCTTCCCTAATGATCTGTTTTGGATATAGGTTAAAAAGGTTTAGAGAACACATACATCCCTGACACACCCCTTCCTTGATTTTGAACCAGGCAGTGTTATTTTGTTCTGTTTGGACAACAACTTCCTCATTGATAGGTTTCCCATGAACACAGTCAAGTGTTCTGAGATTCCTCTTCTCAGTGTTAGCCACAATTTCTTATGATCCACAGAATCAAATGCATAGTTGATAAAACAAATAGATACCCTTCTGGTACTCTACTTTCAGCCCAGACCCATCTGACATTGGCAGTAATAGCCATCGTGCCATGGCCTCTTTTAAACCTGACTTGAATTTCTGGCAGTCCTATATCAATGTACTGTTCAATAATCTTCAGCAAGAATTTGCTTGCATGTGATTGATATTGCATGTGATAATTTCTGCATTCAGTTGGATCACCTTTTTTCGGGATAGGAATAAATATGGTTGTTGTCCAGTCAATTGGTCAGGTAGCTGTCCTCTAGATTTCTTCTGACAAGCAGGTGAGTACATACAGGGCTGTATCTGTTTGTTGAAATATGTCAGTTGGTTTTCCGTTAATTCCTGGAGCCTTTTTTTAAAATAGTTTT